GCCGGTCCGCTTGGCGCTTTACTCATTGTCATGCATCTATCTATCTATGTGCTACTCACGATCCCGCGGCCTGACCCGGCACGCGTGGCGACATGCGGCCTGAGCCGGCTCGCTTGGGGCTTTATTTACTCATCTATCTTTCTATTTCCTACTTATGATTACATAAATCCAGGCGAGGCAGCCCTGCTGCACACCCGCGGCCTGAACCGGCACGCGCGCGCGGCCTGACCCGGCACGCGTGGCGACCATGCGGCCTGCGCCGGCCCGCTTGGCGCTTTGCTTATGCATCTATCTATATATCTATATGCTACTCACGATCCCGCGGCCTGACCCGGCACGCGCGCGCGGCCTGACCCGGCACGCGTGGCAACCGTGCGGCCTGAGTCGGCCCGCTCGGCGCTTTGTTTATTCAGCTAAATATCTTTTTATCGATTTGCTACTTATGAGTACACAGATCCAGGCGAGGCAGCCCTGCTGCACACCCGCGGCCTGACCCGGCACGCGTGGCGACCATGCGGCCTGAGCCGGCTCGCTTGGCGCTTTATTTATTCATCTCTCTTTTTATCTATTTCCTACTTATGAGTACATAGATCCAGGCGAGGCAACCCTGCTGCACACCCGCGGCCTGACCCGGCACGCGCGCGCGGCCTGACCCGGCACGCGTGGCGACCATGCAGCCTGCGCCGGCCCGCTTGGCGCTTGACTTATTCATCTATCTATGTATCTATGTGCTACTTACGATCCCGCGGCCTGACCCGGCACGCGCGCACGGCCTGACCCGGCAAGCGCGGCGACCATGCGGCCTGAGCCGGCGCGCTTGGCGCTTTATTTATTCATCTATCTTTTTATCTATTCGCTATCTTACGATCCCGCGGCCTGGCCCGGCACGCGTGGCGACCACACGGCGACGGTCATGCTGGTGAGCCATGGGACAAGCGGTCAGCTACGTCGCAACAGGACGCTGGCGTGAGCTGTGGTCTTGCGTGTCCTTCTTGTGTGATGGCTGTGCGTGTGTGCTTGTATGTGTTTTTCGCATGTTTGCTGCAGATGTTGCCGTGAGACACAAAAGCAAAAACAAGCTGCTGAGAAAACGCATGGCTGTCTCTCGTAAACAAACGCGCTCTTCCGGCCAAGCAAACATACTCGGATTCTTTACAACATGTTTTCTGAGAAACAAGACACGCTATCCTCTCGTGGGCGCCTCGCTGCTGCGGCGTGAGCCAACGCATGCTCCAGACCCAAGTCTTCCCCAACAGCCTCCCGCAATACCTCCCAACACGGGACTCCCGACGCATGCTCAAGCCCTCACCATGTCAACTCTCAAACCCTCACACTCTCAAGTCGCGTGTCTGTTCCTTTTTTTCGACGTGACTCACGCGTCATGTTCGGACGCGTGCTGTTGGCCTCCTATTAGAACATTAGGGGCGCGAAACCATGAGAATAAAACAAGCGAAGGTCCCCCTCCTCTGCAAAGGACCTTAACCTCCCAGAAACATTCCCCCATAACACCTATCACCCTTCTCAGACTTCATCATCTTAGGAGGCCAACGTGCTATGCAACGCGGTTGCTGGACGACATCGTGCAACATTCCCGTGAACTAGTCTATGCAATTAGGTGTGAGATGTCGTCCGCAACATACCTGCCCAACCTTAGATAGCCGACGCTGCCTACGCAGCGGCCGACTGAAAGCACGCCTACACAATGCAACGGCGCGCGGCTGCCTGAGCACGGCGGCCTGAGCCGGCCGGCACACACGACAAATCCCAATCACAGGTGCTCCTATTTAGCTACCTATTTGACTATTATCAGCGAGCGTTATTATCGAATTATTATGCGTGCTGTGACTTGTAGCGCCGTCTGGACAGACCAGCCTACGACCGCTCCAGCCACTCGCCTGCACGCGCACAGATGTAGGCAGATTTCGTGTCGCGCTTGCGGCTTGGGCATGCTAACTCTCACTCGTCATCTGAGTGAAGATACCCGACAAACTCAGGCGGAGACTCCGGCCATGGCTCTTTGGCGTCGTAGTCGCCAAACTTTTGCTGCAGCCAGCCGTCTTCTTCCGGCTCTAGACCGCTTTCTCTGGGCGGGTCATCGCAGCGGCATACTCTGCGGCTGACGTGGAACGCATCGTCTTTCTCTTCTTGCGGCCACCTCCTGCTCTGGACGCCGGCAGAGTGCTGGCCGGCTTCTCGTATTTTGGCGCAGAGATCATGCCACGCAGCGCCAGCATTTGCCGCAAATCTGCAGTCTCTTCCGGCGGCATTGGGGCACCGCGCTTCGCTTCGGTCCACGCTACGTGGCGCGCTAAGTCCTCCTCCACCGACACCGCCCCTTGGAAAGCCACCTGGGCAGTAGCGTCGTGCAAGGCGTCTAGCCGCAGCTCCAGCTCTGCGCGCCACTTGAAGAGGTCTGTGTCGGCCACGGCACGGAAAGCACAGTAGTCTGGCACGTGTTTGAAAGCCATCTTATGGAAGTCTGTGGCTCGAGACATGCCCACAAAAGCCAGGCCCAAGCACTTCAGCGGCGACCACGTGGGCTCGTGGTCCATGTTGAAGACAGCGCCTTCCCGCAGGGTCAAGCCCTGGCTCTTGTGCACCGCGATGCCGTACGCCAGAGCGGGGAAACTGCACACGGCTGAGGCCAGGGTACTGGTCGTTGTGGACGGTTTCGGGGCATTTTCTTGAAGGCAACAACGACGTCCGGAAGGGCTGTTTGAGGGGAAGGCCTTGAGAAATAAGGATGTTGAAGGGGCGGTTTCCGAGGCCGTTTCCACTTTCGCAGCTGGGGCTCGAAAATCGCAACTTTTGAGTACAAAAGTAGTACGTGAAGTCCATTTACTTTCGCAGCTGGGGCTCGAAAATCGCAACTTTTGAGTGCGAAAGTGTTACGTGAAGTCCACTTTCGCAGCTGGGGGCTCAAAAATCGCAATTGTTAAGTACGAAAGTAGTACGTGAAGTCCACTTTCGCAGTCGCAACTTTTAAGCACGAAAGTAGTACGTGAAGTCCACTTTCGCGAAAGTAGTGCGCGAAGTCCACTTTCGCAGCCAGGGCTCGATAATCGCAACTTTTATGTACGAAAGTAGTACGCGAAGTCTACTTTCGCAGCTAAAGAAAGAAAGAAAGCAAAGAAAGAAAGAAAGAAAGAAAGAAAGGAAGGAAGGAAAGAATGAAGGAAAGAAAGAACAGAAAGAAAGCAAGAAAGAATGAATGGTTTAAAGAAAGAAAGAAAGACGGAAAGAGAGGAAACGATGAAAAAACAAGAAGGACAAAAAGAAGAAGAGAAAACAGAATCAAGACAAAAAAGGGAAAGAGAACTATAGTGTTTATATGATTGAAACTTCCGCCCGCCGGCTTCGCCGGCTCTACTGGTAATAGCAAAGTCACCGCGCGGGAAAACATCAACACATTATTTCATAGAGCCGGATTTAGTCCAACCAAAAACTGTCAAGAACTTTACGCCATAATAATAAAATTCAAGAATGAAAATAAAATGAACTACAACCCCAATTTTTAAATGGTTAAAACCATACTACGATTATAACATTTTACCCTTATATGTTATAATTAAAATGTAAGTATAGCGTTTTAAATATAAACCCAAAAAATCTACAAGGAGCACCACGCCCAACTCGGAATATCCATATTTTGACAAAATACAAAATGATTCTGTCTTCTCGTTGAGTTATTAAAATTGTTGTTTCTTGTTGAGTGATAATTATTAAAAATGTTATATATATATATCTCTCTTTTGAAATAATTGTTATTGAAAAATGTTTCAGAAAATACTATTTTAAGAACTCAAATGTTTAGATGTGTTGAAAATGTTGAATACCAGTAGAGCCAGCGGAGCCGGTGGACGGAAGTTTCTAAAGCGAGAAAAGTGCCCATAGGAAGAGCTTGGCTTCTTTTTTTGGGTTTCGCTCTCTGCCTTCCTTCCTTCCTTCCTTCCTTCCTTTATTTCTTTCTTTCTTTCTTTCTCTTTTTCTTTATTTCTTTCTTTATTGATTTCTTTCTTTGTTTCTCTTTCTCTTTATTTCTTCTTTATCTCTTTCTTTCTGTATTTCTTTCTGTCTTTCTTTCTATTCTTTCTTTCTTTCTTTCTTTCCTTCTCTTTCTCTTTGTTTCTCTCTTTATTTCCTATTTCTTTCTTTCTTTCTTTCTTTCTTTCTCTTTCTCTTTGTTTCTTCTTTCTTTCTTTCTTTCTTTCTTTATTTCTTTCTTTCTTTCTTTCTGTCTTTCTTTCTCTCTCTTTCTTTCTTTCTTTCTTTCTGTATCTATTTATTATTTCTTTCTTTCTTTCTTTCTGTCTTTCTTTCTTTCTTTCTTTCTCTCTCTTTCTTTTTCTTTCTTTCTTTCTTTCTCTTTCTTTCTTTCTTTCTTTCTTTTTCTCTTTCTGTTTCTGTTTCTTTATTTCTTTCTTTCTTTCTCATTTTATTTATTCTTGTTGTCTTTCTTTCTTTCCTGTCTTTCTTTTTATTTATCTTTCTCTTTCTCTTTCTCTTTCTCTTTCTCTTTCTCTCTCTCTTTCCATTTGATCTATCTATCTATCTATCTATCTCTCTATATATATATATCACCTGACCTTGCGAAAGTGCTGCGCCTGCCACGAAATCTGTACTTGACCTTGCATGGGCACAAAAGACTGCGCCTGCCACGAAATCTGCACCTTAGGTTGCCAAAACGCTGCGCCTGCCACGCAAAATAGACCTCCGAAAACGTCTGCGCGAGCATTACAGTGGGCAACATGGCGAACCCGTGGAGAGACCGTGGCGAGACCGTGGCGAGACCGTGGCGAGACCGTGGCGAGACCGTGGCGAGACCGTGGCGAGACCGCACGCTGAACAGGGGCACCCTTTGCGTTTTTTCGCATGTCTAACTCCACTTTTCGTATATGTTGACATATCTTTATACTGTTTCAACATAAAGTTAAAAATGCATGTTTTCGGGCGCTTGTTTAAAATGTTGCTAAAAGTGTAGGGGGGGTGGTACACTTCTGGACTACAAAAAGATGGGCAAGGCCCTGTCTAACTGTCTCTCCCTCCTCTGCCCTGGCTGATCCCGAAGAGCCTGACGGACCTGCTGGTAGGTCGCGAGCGCCGCCTGCACCTCAGGCTCCTCGAGCACATCGGTCAGGTCCTTCTCCCCAAGGAACACAAAGTCCTCGGAGCCCCCTTCCTCAATTTCTTGAAGGTAGTTCTCCAGGGCCTCGCTCTCTTCCTCCTCAGTCAAGAAAGAATGCTTCCCGCCATCTTTGCCCACTTTCTCCAGCTTTCTCAGACCATACTTGCCATTGGCCCACGTCACCAGCTGGTTCGGCGTCGCTGAGGTTGGCCTGCCTGAACATCACATATCCTCGTACTACGCTGTCCAGGTTCACACCTTCCTCCTTGAGCGCGTTGAAGGCTGCGCCCATCCTCAAACTGGCTGAAGGACTCCTTGCTCTTCCTGCTGTCTCCATACACTGCTGTCTCCACACACTGCCTTCTCGAAGGCTTTGGGCAGAGCGTTCTCTGTGAAGGGAGCAAAGTGCTCCTTCAACTTGTTGATGATCTTGTCCACGCTGTGATCTCCGTCACCGTGAGCTCCAAGATCGCCTCCTTGGCATGCCCTCCACAGCGCCCTGCTTGTTGACCGGCACCTCAGCGTCATGCCGCCAGAGCTGAAGTTCTCTGGTCCACTCCTTGAACTTCTCTGGATCTCCTCCATCGAAAGAGGGAGGTGGCTCCCTGTCTCGCCAGGCCACACCGCCATTCTCCATCAAAACTCAGGCCCCCTTCTCGGAGGCTCCGCTGCCACTGATGAATCAGCAGGCAGCTCGGGCTTTTTCGCATCAGGTGCCCCCTGGGCCGAAGGCCTTCCGTAGATTCACGTAGATTCAACTTCACAAGGCTCATGTGTTTCCAACTGTACAACCAAGCCTCACATGATGATTCCAAGCTTGTCCACACTGTTCCAAGCCATGCTAAAATGATTCCATCCGACACCAATGGCCATGCTTTCACACAGACAAAAAGAGAAGAGAGCACAAACGCAAGCCCACCTCCATGTTGGTTGAGCGCTTCACGTGACGCCACTTCTTTGCATCCTGGAGGCTCACCTTCGACGAAGCAGAGAAACAAGAAACCGCAAGAAACCCACACATTTGTCTAATTCGGCCTGGCGCATCTTGCCAAAGTCAATGGAATAGTCTGCTTGCTCGGCGCCTGTCCGCAGTCGGATGCGGACATCCGCATGGCCCTTGTGGAAAGCCTCCTCGATCTGAGCGCAGGTGACCTCATCATAGGGCCTGAACTTGTTGCTGGTGCTCCAAAGCCAAATGGCCATGGCTGGATGCCTGGATGGCTAGAATCCCTTCTCCACTTGCGCCCAAACACTACAATCCAGATTCCACAAGTGCCAGCATTCCTCAAGGCTCACGGCTCAGCATAGCGGCTGAAATGGTCAGCCCCAAGTTTTTGGTGCTGGGCCTGGGCCTCCACAAGCAAATGACCGAAATTCCGGCGCCAGGATTGCTCACCTCAGCGTCCAAATGACATTTAGTTTGGATTGGTCAATCACTTGAAGGCCAAGGATCACATCACTCTGGTAATTTGGATGCACCCAACCGTGCAGAAGGACATTTATGGCTAGGAATGCTAATGTCATTTGGAATGCACGCCGCGCCTCAGCAGACATCAAACCACACTCCCTTGGGCCCAACCACTTTGCAACTGACATCTTCGCGGAATGGTGTTTCTTCGTCCAAGTAATAAGCAATCCCCGAGCCACGCAAAACACAGTGACCCATCTCGTCCAGATCTGGCCGGGCACCTTGCCGAGTTCATGCTAGCGGCCAGGCTTGGCATTGAGAATCAAACCCTGAAATACCTGGGACAGAGCCCAAAGCTAAGCTATGATAAGACCAAGACATCGCAGTTTCGTTTACGCCATGCACATGCTTAAGTCCTGAAACGACCGAACTCGTTCGGGTTCCTTTTGCTAGCTGTGGCTCAGCACCGCAGCAAAACACGAGAAGCCGTTGGCAGTCGCCACGGCTGCCACAGTGGGCAGCACGCATCAGGTCATGTCTCGAAAACTCCCCCTGCGTTGGGGGCTTGAGACTCGCCAAGTGCCTGGGAACTGCCTGCGCTTTACATTTGCTGTACACTGTGCACAAAGACCCTGTGGCACATCGCCACAGTCCAGTCTCGCGGCAGATCCGCCACTCGGGTGAAAACCAAACACCATGGCCTGGAAGCTGAGCATCAACACATTCTCACCACCTAAGAAACAAGTTGAGTCGTTGAGTCTGAATGTTTCTTGGGATCATGACTCTCCATTCCACCCATGCTTCAGCTCAGCTTCCAGGGCTAGGCACAGCTATCAGATTTGAGCTGCATCTCAGAGCTGCCGGATGTTGGAGACCTGACCGCAGTTGTGCTCCGGGCCGGTTCGACACCCCAGGATTTTCTCCGAGTCATAGCCCTCATCTTGCAAGCGGCTGCAACAGGTGCTGATGGCGCCATGAACCTCCTTGCTCCGGCCCACGCGCACGTCGGCCTTGAGCATGACCCCGTGGCGATGGGCCTTCTGCCGTGCTTCGGATGGGCTCTCAGCAAAGTAGATGCCACCACCTGCCATGCCAGTCTCGCCACGCAACATCTGCTGCGACCTCTACAGCTCCAAGGTCTGATCGCGTCCCACGCTCACGATGCTCTGGGAGCCCAAGGCTGAGCCCAATGAGGCTCCCAGTGGGTGGAGCGCTGGGCGGAGTGCTGGGTGGAGCGCTGGGTGGAGTGCTAGGCCGGGGCCAGTGACACCCACCGGAACCTCGACGACCAAAAGACACGTCGTCCCACGGATCCTCAACCAGCACTGGGATGCCACCCGAGCCTGGACCAAAGCCCATAGGTCCCCTGCCAATGTAGCCGAACATCGCGCACGTCCAACAGAGACCAGCAACTCTTGAGCAAAACTGCCACCATTGCGTTAGATGCAACAAGGTGCACAAAAAAACAAGCAGCCTACTGGATTGAACAACTGTCCGCCCGGACAAATTGAGCATTGGGCTTCCCGCCAAGAGTGCCACGGTCAGACAGCTTCTCTATCTCGCCATGAGATGCCTGAGCAAGAGCTTCAGGGAAAGCATTGCACTGATACACATGAAAAAACGTGATAAGACCAAGACATCGCAGTTTCGTCTACGCCATGCACATGCTTAAGTCCTGGAACAACCGAACTCGTTCGGGTTTTCTTTTGCTAGCTGTGGCTCAGCACCGCAGCAAAACACGAGAAGCCGTTGGTAGTCGCCACGGCTTCCACAGTGGGCAGCACGCATCAGGTCATGTCTCGAAAACTCCCGCCAAGTGCCTGGGAACTGCCTGCACTTTACATTTGCTGTACACTGTACACAAAGACCCTGTGGCGCATCGCCACAGTCCAGTCTCGCGGCAAATCCGCCACTCGGGTGAAAACCAAACACCGTGGCCTGGAAGCTGAGCATCAACACATTCTCATCACCTAAGAAACAAGTTGAGTCGTTGAGTCTGAATGTTTCTTGGGATCATGACTCTCCATTCCACCCATGCTTAAGCTCAGCTTCCAGGGCTACGCACAGCTATCAGATTTGAGCTGCGTCTCAGAGCTGCCGGACGTTGGCTAGCTGTGGCTCAGCACCGCAGCAAAACACGAGAAGCCGTTGGCAGTCGCCACGGCTGCCACAGTGGGCAGCACGCATCAGGTCATGTCTCGAAAACTCCCCCTGCGTTGGGGGCCTGAGACTTGCCAAGTGCCTGGGAACTGCCTGCGCTTTACATTTGCTGTACACTGTACACAAAGACCCTGTGGCACATCGCCACAGTCCAGTCTCGCGGCAAATCCGCCACTCGGGTGAAAACCAAACACCATGGCCTGGAAGCTGAGCATCAACACATTCTCATCACCTAAGAAACAAGTTGAGTCGTTGAGTCTGAATGTTTCTTGGGATCATGACTCTCCATTCCACCCATGCTTAAGCTCAGCTTCCAGGGCTAGGCACAGCTATCAGATTTGAGCTGCATCTCAGAGCTGCCGGATGTTGGAGACCTGACCGCAGTTGTAGACCACGTGCTCCGGGCCGGTTCGACACCCCAGGATTTTCACCGAGTCATAGCCCTCATCTTGCAAGCGGCTGCAACAGGTGCTGATGGTGCCATGAACCTCCTTGCTCCGGCCCACGCGCACGTCGGCCTTGAGCATGACCCCGTGGCGGTGGGCCTTCTGCCGTGCTTCGGATGGGCTCTCAGCAAAGTAGATGCCACCGCCTGCCATGCCACTCTCGCCACGCAACATCTGCTGCGACCTCAAGATGCGCTCGGCTGCCTGTGAGTCTGTCTCATGGTACAGCTCCAAGGTCCGATCGCGTCCCACGCTCACAATCCTCTCTGGGCCCAAGGCTGAGCCCAATGAGGCTCCCAGTGGGTGGAGCGCTGGGTGGAGTGCTGGGTGGAGCGCTGCGTGGAGTGCTAGGCCGGGGCCAATGACACCCACCGGAACCTCGAGGACCAAAGGCACGTCGTCCCACGGATCCTCAATCAGCACTGGGATGCCACCCGAGACTGGACCAAGGCCCATAGGTCCCATGCCAATGTAGCCGAACATCGCGCACGTCCGCCAGAGACCAGCAACTCTTGAGCAAAAACTGCCACCATTGCGTTAGATGCAACGAGGTGCCTTCGGTGCCTTCATTCACCAAAAAACAAGCAGCCTACTGGATTGAACAACTGTCCGCCCGGACAAATTGAGCATTGGGCTTCCCGCCAAGAGTGCCACGGTCAGACAGCTTCTCTATCTCGCCATGAGATGCCTGAGCAAGAGCTTCAGGGTAAGCATTGCGTTGATACACATGAAAAAAACCTGATAAGACCAAGACATCGCAGTTTCGTCTACGCCACGCACATGCTTAAGTCCTGGAATGACCGAACTCGTTCGGGCTCCTTTTGCTAGCTGTGGCTCAGCACCGCAGCAAAACACGAGAAGCCGTTGGCAGTCGCCACGGCTGCCACAGTGGGCAGCACGCATCAGGTCATGTCTCGAAAACTCCCCCTGCGTTGGGGGCTTGAGACTTGCCAAGTGCCTGGGACTGCGCTTTACATTTGCTGTACACTGTACACAAAGACCCTGTGGCACATCGCCACAGTCCAGTCTCGCGGCAAATCCGCCACTCGGGTGAAAACCAAACACCATGGCCTGGAAGCTGAGCATCAACACATTCTCATCACCTAAGAAACAAGTTGAGTCGTTGAGTCTGAATGTTTCTTGGGATCATGACTCTCCATTCCACCCATGCTTAAGCTCAGCTTCCAGGGCTAGGCACAGCTATCAGATTTGAGCTGCATCTCAGAGCTGCCGGATGTTGGAGACCTGACCGCAGTTGTAGACCACGTGCTCCGGGCCGGTTCGACACCACAGGTTTCTCACCGAGTCATAGCCCTCATCTTGCAAGCGGCTGCAACAGGTGCTGATGGCGCCATGAACCTCCTTGCTCCGGCCCACGCGCACGTCGGCCTTGAGCATGACCCCGTGGCGATGGGCCTTCTGCCGTGCTTCGGATGGGCTCTCAGCAACGTAGATGCCACCACCTGCCATGCCACTCTCGCCACGCAACATCTGCTGCGACCTCAAGATGCGCTCGGCTGCCTGTGAGTCTGTCTCATGGTACAGCTCCAAGGTCCGATCGCATCCCACGCTCACGATGCTCTGGGGGCCCAAGGCTGAGCCCAATGAGGCTCCCAGTCAATGGAGCGCTGGGCGGAGTGCTGGGTGGAGCGCTGGGTGGAGTGCTAGGCCGGGGCCAATGACACCACCGGAACCTCGAGGACCAAAGGCACGTCGTTCCACGGATCCTCAACCAGCACTGGGATGCCACCCGAGCCTCCAATGTAGCCGAACATCGCGCACGTCCAACAGAGACCAGCAACTCTTGAGCAAAACTGCCACCATTGCGTTAGATGCAACAAGGTGCCTTCGGTGCCTTCATGCGCCTTCACAAAAAAACAAGCAGCCTACTGGATTGAACAACTGTCCGCCCGGACAAATTGAGCATTGGGCTTCCCGCCAAGAGTGCCACGGTCAGACAGCTTCTCTATCTCGCCATGAGATGCCTGAGCAAGAGCTTCAGGGTAAGCATTCCGTTGATACACATGAAAAAGCATGATAAGACCAAGACATCGCAGTTTCGTCTACGCCATGCACATGCTTAAGTCCTGGAACGACCGAACTCGTTCGGGTTCCTTTTGCTAGCTGTGGCTCAGCACCGCAGCAAAACACGAGAAGCTGTTGGCAGTCGCCACGGCTGCCACAGTGGGCAGCACGCATCAGGTCATGTCTCGAAAACTCCCCCTGCGTTGGGGGCTTGAGACTTGCCAAGTGCCTGGGAACTGCCTGCGCTTTACATTTGCTGTACACTGTACACAAAGACCCTGTGGCACATCGCCACAGTCCAGTCTCGCGGCAAATCCGCCACTCGGGTGAAAACCAAACACCATGGCCTGGAAGCTGAGCATCAACACATTCTCATCACCTAAGAAACAAGTTGAGTCGTTGAGTCTGAATGTTTCTTGGGATCATGACTCTCCATTCCACCCATGCTTAAGCTCAGCTTCCAGGGCTAGGCACAGCTATCAGATTTGAGCTGCATCTCAGAGCTGCCGGATGTTGGAGACCTGACCGCAGTTGTAGACCACACCCCAGGATTTTCACCACGAAAATGCCAAGCGATCAGCGGCCCAAACAGCGGCCAAAATATGGCCGCTATCTCGACCGGTTCCACAGCATGCCGAGCGCGAAAAGCACCCAAAAAAGACGCCTAAAAATTAGCTGTCTTTTTGAAGCCAAAACGCCGAAAAAACAAAAAACACTCACACGAAAAAAAGGATCCGTGGACACGCCAGGAAACAGCTCGAATCATTCCAAAGGAGCACCTCGACACAGGCTCCTCGAACGCAAGATGAAGCCCAAGCACCAGCATCCCCGGCATCCCCAGCATCCCGCGCACTTGCTGAGCCGCCAGCACCCCCAGCATCCCCAGCATCCCCGAGGCAGGTCCAAGCGCGAAACACGCAAGCAGTAAGCAAGCAAGAGAAATAGCCATCTTTTTTTGACCCAGAAAAGACAAAAAAACACGCAAAACGAGCCAGCTCAACGCAGAAAACACCTCGCAAAAGCATGGTAAAACGCAGGATTTTGCGCAACAATGCAGCGAGCGAGCAATTCCCGGACAGATGGACAAGACGCCCAAATGTTAGCCGTCTTTTTTGGGCGCAAAATTCTGCAAATCAGGCCGAGCAGCCGACCCCCCCCCCGCTCCCCCCTTTCCCTGTGGCCCAACTCTCAACCCAACTCTCAACCCAACTCTCAACCGCTTCAAAGAAGCGCTTTCCGTCATCTTTGCAAGTAAGCTGCAAGTCAGCCTTCTCTCCCCGAATATTGCTATTTAGAAGACAGTGCAGTCAGGTCACAGGAACCTGCAGCTCGTCCTGCCCATGTGCATTGTGGCAATATCGTCCGAACTCGCAAAAGTTCGGAAACTTCTCACAAAGCTTCATCTTGGGCTTCTCCTGGCAGAGCAGTCCAGCGCACGGATGTGGCAGCGCTGTTGCTTCCACCCACCCCAAACGTTCCCAATGACCATTGGGTGAGAACTCTTGCAGCAGCCTGCTGACTTCACTCAAAGCACCCGTCCTGCCATCCAGGCGGCTGGCGTTGCTCAGCTTCACCATGTGCGACTACTCTGATTACGGCACGATTAGACTGTCAGGTCTCCGCAGAACTACGGTCCGGTACTACGGCTAGATTGTGAATTCATGATTAAGGGGAGGCGGCTGGTGGCAACTCTCTTGGATGGAGGGGGGGGGGGCTGGCACTGGGGGACGTGATAAAACATGATGACGACCTGGCTGTAATTCTGCGGAGACTAAAATTTATGACGATCTGGCCGCAATTCTGCGGAGACTAAAATTGAATACGATCTGACCGTAAGATCTTCGGAGACTAAAATTGATGACGATCTGACCGTAATTCTTCGGAGACTAAAATTGAATACGATCTGACCGTAATTCTGCGGAGACTAAAGTTGAATACGATCTGACCGTAATTCTGCGGAGACTATAAAATTGAATACGATCTGACCGTAATTCTGCGGAGACTAAAGTTGTGTACGATCTGACCGTAATTCTGCGGAGACTAAAGTTGTGTACGATCTGACCGCAATTTTCGGGGACGTGATATAACATGATGATGATCTGACCGTAAATGCGTGTTTTCACGAATTTTGGCACGTTTTGTCATTTTTCACCAACATTCAGTCTGTCATCATGAAGTTGTTGACGATCTGACCGTAAATGCGTGTTTTGACAAATTTTGACGAACATTGTCGAACTTTGTCAAAATTTGTCAAAATGTGTCAACTTTTTTCTGCGGAGATGAAAATTGATGACGATCTGACCGTAATGCTGCCGCCCCAGCCTCCGGTGCCCTCCTCCGGGCCCGGGGAGCCCGCTCATGACCACCACGGACCTTGGATCTGCTGTGGCTGTTGCTGCTGCTGCTCCTCCAACGGGTTGACATAGTACTTCACGTCCCAAGGAACTCCCCGCAAGCCTTCCTCCAGCTTCAGACACTTGTCTCCTTCCGCCACCGTGTGGTGCCCTGTCCCGACCACCACTCAATTCGCGGTCATGACCAGCAACGACCCGAACCTGTTGTGAGTACCCAGGTACCGGCCTGCCACCATTCGTGAAAGGTCTCCTCTCCGACCTTTCCCCGCCGGTTTCACCAGGATCCTTTCCCCGAACTCCGGCATCGGCTTTGTCCACTTCTTCCCGGTTCTCCTCTCCTCTGGCGCGCGCCCATCCGCACCGATCTTGAACCGGTTCATCTGCTCGGCCGCAAATCTCGGCGCCCAGAGCGTCAGCGGATGTCCCTCGGGCACTCCTCCTTGCACCTTCTTGCTGACCGTCATCAGCACCGCCCGAGTCCTCCACTTGATCTCCTTGACCGCCTGCTCTGCGACTCCGTTCGCCTTGGAATCCCACGCCGGCGACTCCTCCGGAATTGCCCTCCAGACTCCTCTTGCCTTCTTTGCCGCCTCCATCTTCATCTTGACGATGGCCCTCTCTCCATCGCTCTTCATCACCACCTCCGGGTACCCCAAGGTCTCCAAGAACCGCGTGACCGTCTTCTGGCCCGTACTGTCCGCCAGGCCTTTCTGCTTCAGCGCCACCGCCGCCATCATCCCTGTGCGACGATCCACCGCCACCAAGTTCGGCTTTGACCCTTCCTCCTCTCCAAGGTAGAAACAGTCCATAGCCACGCTCGGCAGCTCCTCCTCCTGACGAACCTTCCTCCGGTGCTGCTGCACCATGCCCGTGGCGTTCACACACTCCTCTCACCCGCTCCTATAGACCGCACGTCCGCTGGCTTCATGTTCTCTCCTCTCCCTCGCCGTTGGCATCGGCGGGGTCCACCCTGGATTTACGGCCCTGGCTTCTACCGATTCCTCGGGAGCGGCGGGCCCACCAGGCCACCAAGGAGGCAAGGTCTGACACCGCTTTCACCAGCGAATCCACATCCATGGGAACCGCATCCCCTCCACTCATATTCTTGCTGAAGTTGCATTGCTCCCGGTCTTCGCCTCCATGAAGGTCACCACTGCCTCCGTCTCCTCAAAGTTCTTGAGCCTGGAGAAGTTCAGCAGAAGGTGCATCTCCATCTCCTTCGGGACCAATTTTTCTAAGGCATTCATAGCGAGCGAGTCTGGCAAGGCCTCGCCGAATTGGTCCTTCTTCTTATTGTAGCGGCCCCTCAA